TTCATCTCTTGAATGTTGGAGTAAAGGGCAGAGACTGGGGGGAGGAGGGAGCACACGTTCTTCGAGAGTGAGTCCAAAGTATGGAAAATTAAGGTGTCTAATTATAGTACGAAAATGATTTACTTTAGTTGCCCACGTAACAATCCCCAAAATTTTCAAGTTAATGAGAAATCTGTCGAACTAGAGAAGGCGTGTGGCTTTGATACCACGCCCACGTTTGATCTCCTGTCCTCCGAGAAAATTTGTCGAGCTACCACAGCTATTTTAGGATTTTTTGTCAATATCTCTGCTGATAGCTAATCAAAATTTTTTTCGCTGAGCCTTCTTGCAAAATTTGGTTCTTGCACCATCTATAATTGGAAATGTCTCAAAACTAGGACATTATAGTACCTTTACTAACGATAAATGAAAGATAACTAATCGTGTCTAGATGCTCTTTCAGCTATAAGGTGCGATTTGTTTGACATTGTTCCTCTCGCTAACAACCGAAGGTCATTCTTGCCAAACACCTACCAAAAACCTATTACTATCCCTTGGAATTACCTTTGTGAAGTGAAGATGGCTGGCCGTGATACAGGTGAGGAATAATAAGCAATATGAAGTTTTTCAGCTATCAAGAGTTTGTATTCCAGCAGAACAATCATCAGTCCTATCACTGACATGGTTACCAGTGATGTCGAAATATGTTCATCCATTCGAGGAAGAAATTACATTGCGACAAATAGCACAAGTAATTGACAAACGCTTAGGTGTAATTCTCCACTGCTACGTTTGAACTGATTTGTATTTTCAGTTTTATGATGATCGCGACTGGAAAACCGTGTGTATAGATTTTGAGACTCCTGAAAAGGCGTCACAAGCGAAAAATCATATGAATGATGCGATCAAAGCGCTGAATTCTCCAGCATATCAGGTACTGGCTCCGAAATACGGTACTTCTTCAACTTTGTTGTATTCAGAGGGGGAGAAGGAACTAGTTTTGGTAGACTGACATTTGATATAAGGGGAGATTAGTATGTGTTTGTATTTGAGCGATATAACAAGAATTACGAAATAGGGAGACTTTACTTTTTGTAATAACAGGGTCCATTGACCCTTGTTCGCATAGTTCTTTGCCACGCTTCAGAAACTACCACGTTGCCAACAAGATAACCTCGTATCTAAAAACTCAATTTCTCCAATGACCAGTGCAAACCGCTGTTATATTTCTGCTGATTTCATCGA